GATCCAAGCAAGACATCCGGCTTGCGTACTTTCGGAAGCCATAGAACCGGTTTCATGTGTCTATATTCATCCGCCGTGCTATAGTTGTTCCTTCTCAAATTGCTCAATCCTTTAGCGATCTGGTATTCGATTTTCTTCGTTGGGTACATTTCAATCCGTCAATACGTGTTCGTGTCTTCCAGTAGTTGGTATGNCTTGGTTATTTAATCCGTCGTGTTCATTACAACCGCCAATCTCTCCTTGTTTACCAGGATAACGATTATGTTCTTGTTTCGTTTCCGGTTGTCCATAGCCTGTAGTTCATTTTGACTAAAGACTTATTTCTTGTTTCCCCTGTTCAACGCAGCGGTTATTCTTTGTCTTATATCTTCTTTGGTATCCGGTGAAATGTTATTTATCTTCTTGGCGGACTCCAATGCGATGTTTGCCGAGGCCGGTGGTGGATTTAACAATGTCCAGGGCGGTCAAACGAAGATTTGGCACGAGGGTATGAAAACCCTGACAAGGTGACTGAGTCACATAGGTCCTGTTAGGCTTCCTGGTTGGGGACCTCGGGATGATTGTAACCGATGGTTAGAGACACTCAGTGAATATGGCTGGGCGTCGCAAACAGTGGAGCTCGTGCATCTACTCGTTATTCCTTTAATACCAGTCTATATGATTTCTCTATCTTCCCCTTGAATTTTCTCTCAATATTCCAATCTTGATTCTGCGGTTTTATCCAGATGGGCAACAGCCGAAAGACAGAAACCAATGCCGGCGCAAGAAAGTGCTTGGTTACTGATTGTAAAAACTAAAACTGAAACTGGACTTCAGTGCTGCTATGAAGTCTAAGCGATTGGCATCAGCATGTTTTTTAAGTTCAATCCTCGACTCTAGTACTGATTGTTAGGAGTGTGAGAACACTCGGCTGGATAAACTTTTTATCCAATGCTGTGACTCTTGTTCCCTATAATGCGGAATTATTCTATTCCATTTCCTCTCTGAAGCTGTTCTCTTGTGACTTACCTCTTACGGTTAACTCCTAGTGATATTGCTTTTTCTAACTGTTCTAGCAATGCGTTTTCGATCATACTCGAAAAAACTGCTTTTCTCCGTATCCCGAGCCACAATCATTCCAAATTATTTCCAACAATTCAACACGACGTTTTCGAATAAAAAGATCGAAAACCGAGTTTCAGCGAGGTCGTTCCCTACGGTCTACTCAATCAATAA